AATATTGTACTACCTTTATGAATTTGAGAGTTCATTGGTTAAATCACTAATCAAAGACTTACTTTTGTGAATTTTTTTGTTTGCAATAATTAGATATTGAAAAAAAAAATCAAATAACCACGTTTCGAAGAAAATTATATAAATAATCAAGTTTCAGAAAACATTAACATGCAGTAGTCAAGTGAGATGACGCATACATTGATTTTTTAAAGGTGGCGCCAAATGATATGACTCTTAGGTGCATGTGATTTTCCCTAAGTCATCTAAGATGTCGCCTAGGTGCAAAGTATTTTTTTGTTAAAGAAATAAAAGACAATTTCGTTGCAAATGAAAGTTTGATTTTCAATAATAATTAAATGATTACATAATGAGAATAAAAGTTACATATTATTTTGTTGTCTCCTGGGACTCGATAACGACTTGTGGTTCCGCACCCGCGTCTTGGCATAACTCGTGGTGCATTTCGTCGATTTTCCTGTTGCAGTTGGATCGATGGCCCTTTGAAGTCAATGCGCCCAGGATCCATGAAATCTGTCAGATCACCATATCCGAAAGATCCACTTTCAAACAGTCGGTTACCCATGCCCTCAAAGTTTGGTCGTATTGGTGGGGGGTTGATTCCAGGGATGGTCGATAGCACTGATAGTATGAATAAGAGGGATAAAAAAAGAAATGAATCTTGTGGAGTTTGATACTGTGATTGTTGGGTGTTATGATGATGTGATGAGTGATCGTAAGTTGGTTGGTTGGGGAATATTCTTTAGGCAGGCCAATGTCTGGGCTGAGGTGAGATGATGAGGGGCCCACATCGGGTTGATGTTCTTGGTATTGTGGTTGAGTGTGCGGCATATGTGTGTATTGGTATTGAGGTTGTGATTGTGGCTGGGTGTTTGTGGGTCTGTATCATGGTGGTGTTTGGTGGGACATTGATGTGTGTTGGGTTTGTTGTTGAGGTTGTTGTTGGGCGGTGTATGATTATCGGTAGTGTTGTTGGGGATTTGAGGGTTGTGCCCATTATAGGCGTGGATTGATCAAATACCTCGGGTGAGACACAAATATTTCAGGGTTAGTAACTGGTATGTACAAATCAATATATTGATTTCTGTGTCGTATATTATTCTGGATGAGGAAAACAGAGAATTGTAGTCATGTGGGTCACGCCTATGCCACATCTTACACCATTCCAGAGCAAAATCTTTCCAATTATTAACATCTCATTGGGCGTCGACCCTTTTGAGATGCCAAGGTGACAAATAAGTTGGATCAATTGGTATTTCTTGGTATATTTTGAACTGCATCTTGACACAGTCGTTATGGTGCATCTCCATAATGTTGAACTGTATGATTGCATTCTTTGCAGTCCAAACTGTTGCATCCTAGTTGTAATATAAAATTTCATGTGAGAGATCAAAGACAAGGCTCTTCGGAAAACAGTTATGAACGTGGGATATACATTAACACAATCTTCGTTCAAGCATTACCGCAACAAGATCAGATTGTCAAATCCGAATGTAGGTAGGTGGGTTGATAATCTTCCAGTGGAGAAATGGACGAAGTCATACAACAATGGACAACGATGAAGCCACGTGACAATAAATCTTATTGAATCAATGAGCGGTGTCTTCAAAGGCATAAGAAACCCCCCAGTAACCACTTTGGTGAAATCAATATATTTTAGGATGGCTTCGTTGTTTGCAAAAAGAGATGAAATGTGGAACATGGTGTTACAATCGAGACAACTATGGAGTGAAAGCTGCATGAAATTTATTAAGGCAAAAAATGCCAAAGCCAAAACTCATCATGTTATAAGATTCGACTGACATAACCATAACTTCATTATCAAAGAGACACTCGACCATAATGAGGGGTTGCCAAGACAAGAGTATAGGGTTATACTACCATCTCGTTGATGCGATTGTGGAAAGTTTCAAGACTTTTGTATGCCTTGCTCTCATGTCATTGCGGAATGTATGTATGCTCATCAAGATGTATTACTACTTATATCTCCCAGTGACACCTTGCTCAATGTATACAACAATGGATTTTCAGTGGTAACGAAACCAGATTATTAGCCTGCGTACAAAGGGGAAATAGTTTGGCACAATGATCAAATGTGAAGGAATAAAAAAGGTCGTCCCAAAAGCAAGTGTCTCACAATTGAAATGGACTCCCTTGACAAGCTAGAAAGAAAATATGGTTTATCCCGTCAGGTCGGACACAATCGAACAAATTGTTCCACTCGTGCTACTAGCTCGAAAACATAAATATTGCATGCATACAATCTGCACTTTTTAAGATCTAAACAAAACACATTTGTTACAACAAACCATACGCAAACAACAAATAAAAAGACATCACGACTAAAACAACAACAAATACGCCACATAAATATAACATCAACAACACGACAAAATATCTAAGAAATTATAACTATCAAGACAATTTCATTTGACCCATGCATCATCATCATTACGTCTCTGTCTGTTTTGACTTCCTCCAACCAAGAATAAGGTCTTCCAGTTGAAAGTGAGGTGGTTGTTCTTCTTCTTTGGATCCTTTTAATTTGTTCCCCAACTTTGATGTCTCAGTCTAACCATCACACCAACTCTCTCTTCAGACGCTCCATAAAATGAATGTGCCAAAATTTTATTTCCATCGGAGGTTTGGTGGCCGAAAAAATAACGTACCTATCTCTCGTGAAAATCATGGGAGATGTCATGACGCAAAAAATACAGAGAAAGGGAGAAAGTGTGAAGAATGGTGAGAAATAAGTGTTTTATTTATAGAAAACACAATTGCATGTAGGCGTCATCTCAGATGGCGCCTTCTTCCACAAATATAGAGCATGCGCGATCTCACATGGTTTGAGGGAAGTGTATGCACCATGTGGGATGACACCTAAGGCCAAACTTCAAGTGCATGCGCCATGTGACTTGGCTACTGCATGTTAATGTTTTCTAAAACTTGATTATTTGCGTAATTTTCTCTGAAACGTGATTATTTATGCATTTTTTTAATACCTGATTATTGCAAAATAATCCTACTTGTGTACACATGAATATTTTAACTCATGGTTTTGATTAATCATTTTATGTTTTGGACTCGTCAATAACGTTCAAATTATTATTTATAATATATTTAAATATTTAACTTGTATGATTATTTTTTTCATCTTTTTTTTTTATTTTTTTCATCTTTTTTATTTTTAAAATTATTAATTTATAAAAATCAATAATATATTTATATTTTAAAATAAAATATAATTAAATACGACTATTAGGAGTTGAATCCTAAATCAAGAGCTTGCACCTATCTAACTCAATTAGTAATTACTAGTTGAACCTTCTCTTTTAGAAGACATTTTGACCATAATTATTTAAGGGTGTCAAAGTAGACAAGTCGTCCCGTTTAAGTCTGTTCAAAAGCACGGCGAGACAGACTGGATCAACTTAGACATTCGAATTTAAAAGTTAAGTCCATCTCGTTTACTAAGGAGTTGGCGGGTTGACAGGCCGACCTGCCATTTTTTTTTTAATTTTACAATGTAATTATTACATGATTTTAAAAAAATTAATCACTATCAAAGAGGTCGACAAAAATTATTTTTAACAACGTATAATAGAACTTCAACATATCTTAAATCAAAATACAAGAAAAGCATAACGAATTAGTGATTAAAACATAACGAAATAAAGACCAATCAGTCTAAAAAATAAAATAAATAAAAATCAATTACAAGAAAAATAAAATAAAACAGACTCAAACAATAAAAAAAAGTATTTAAATAAGTAACATATATCATCTTAAATATATTTAAAAATTAACTACTAAAAGAATCCAATTAATAAACTTTTCTGCTGATTACATCATATAAACTTTTATATTAACCGATTCCTTAATAGTTATATCATAAATTTGTATATACTAATCAAATCTTTATTTTTCTTAAAATCAACATTTATTTCTAAAGAAAACATGTGAGCAAATATATTGACAACATAATAATTCTTCATGTCATATAATTGTTCTTTTAGCTCAAGTTTTTTCAACCAACACGTGTATTAGAAAGTCATAGAAAAAACTTTACAATTATAATTGAATATATTAAAAAGTTATAGAAAGAACCTTACAATTATAATTTGTCTGTATAATAATATAGAATGCGCCGGTAAAACCCGCCCCATTCTGATTATTTAAGTGGGTTGGACGCGATGGACCAACTTAAGATCCGAGCTGAAAATCTCAGTCCAATCTGTCAAAAATGGTGGATCAAATGGGTCGGTCCGACCCATTTTGTCATCCCTATAATTATGATTAGCATTATATTCTATTAACTCAAATGCACTTTTGATCTTCCTATTTTTACCTTTTTTTTAAGTTTTAGTTTCCTCATTTTAAAAGCCAACTTATACAAAATTATAGAAGAACCAACAAAATCCCAAGTGAGATAAAATTTAGGGAGAAAAAGTTGACATTTAAAATAGTAAAACTTTAAAACCTTGAAAAATAAAATAAGGGAATCAAAAGTTTAACCCGATTCTATTTATATTTGTATCAAAGATTATCTTGTCACTAAGACCCAGTTTAGCAATACCTGTTGAGTGAAAGGTCTGTATCATCATGTATATACATTCAGTTAAATACATTCGACTTACTTTACCATAAAATAAAATAAAATTTATCCATGCGTGAACTAGAAACTCAGTCAATTTGATTCATCCTCGCAATTTAAAAAAAACCAGAATATATGACACCTCCAAAATGGTGGGTGTGAGTCAAAGGAATGCTTTTTCTAAAATAAAGGTAAATAAATACTCAAGTCATGCGCAAAAGCACAATTGTACTGATCAATTAATTATCTTTAGAAGACACAAGAAAGGGCTGAAATAGTTTTTCCTATAAAAACTAGGCAAAATTAACAAGACCAAGAAAGAAAAAAAAACATAATTCTAATAATCAACAATATTTAGAAGGCCAAAGAAATGTGGTAGCCTTGAATCTCAGGCTTTTATGCAACAGTTGAAGTAGCTCAAGAAGCTCCTCCTTGTCTGTAAAGAAGAGAAAAATTCAATTAAGAAACAATATTTTAGGCACCACAAATATCCAATAAGTTATATGTCATAAATGTCACAATTAAATTCCAATAACAAAAATAAACATATTATAATCCCATGACTATAAAGTGATCACCCCAATATTCCAATGCATGTGCAGCAACTAAAATTCCTTGGTAAAGAGTATTATTATATCCTTCAACCTAACCACCGCCCTTTTCTTAAAGAAGAGGGCGTGAATCCAATAGAATGTATATGCTTTTACTTTTCTTTGAAAATGTTTTTTTAGGGATATTCTTTAGATACAAAAGCACAAGTTTCCACTGCCAGCTTTGGACAAAATAAAATTGGTTTGAATGGTTTCTTATAAAACAGTATGAAGAATTTTACTTTTGAGTTCAAATCACAATTTAACTAAACCTATTGAGTGAAATATTTATGCATCCATTCATCAACATAGTAAATAAACAAATAAAAAAAAAAAAGAGTAGAAATCTTACAGCTGAAGAGTTAGTTTTGTGATAGTGAGGATGTTGGATCTCACTGTCATTAGTTTTTGTATCTTTCTGAACAGAAGTTGTAAACTCTTCCTCATTACCAAGACTAGCTCTCGACGCATTAGTCTTATTCTGTTTACGCATTTCTCGGATTTTAGAAAAATCCATCGAGTAATCCGGCAATGGACCCTTCTGATCCCATTCTCCAAACTGTGGTACTGATAACCAAGGGGTATTTTTCTGCATTCAATACCACAAAATTTACTAAAATCAAATCAAAATATGTTGTTAATTGCAATAATTGTGTTCTTCAATATTAATTACGATGAACCTAATGAGTAATCGTTGAAAAGTTTCGACTCCTCAACCAAAGGAACAATTAACTTTTTTGTTTCGGCAAAACACTCAATTAAGTTAAAAATATATTTTTCTAATACATAATTAATATTTTCAAGCTTCAATTCACTACTCTGTAAAACAAATTCGAAACGAACAAGAAATCTTAACTAAGATTTTAACAGAAATTCAATCGATTGATTCTAGGTTAAAAACTCTGTTCTATGTAATTTCTCTGAATTCATAGAAATAAAACATGAATTGGAAGAAAAGAAAAGTAAAATCACGCAATTTAGCAACAAAATTCGTCGATTAAAAAAGCAAAAGCAGTGAAATAGAGTGAAAAAGTTACCTCCTTATTTTGCTCCATGATGGCTTTTTCAGATTTTTTGAGAAGAAATGTTCAAGGTTATAGAATTATGTAGGCACAAGTGTTTCAGCTAGTATATATATATATATATATATATATATATATATATATATATATATAATGGGAAAATATATTCCTTTTAAATTAATTTCATTATTTAATTAAGAAAAAAAAATATAACTTTCTTTACGCGCAAAAGCGGATATTACTCCTATTTGCTTAGTTGGACTTGTCTACTACAAGTATCAAATACCAATACATGCAATTATTTTTTTAAGAATATTTTAGTAATAAAATTAAATTAATATATTGAAGAAAATAATTATTGTTATTAGCTTAATTTAATGCGCGTGTGTTGTGGTACCCGTCTCTATTCTTGGGTTTGGGTTTTGTAGCTGTCTTTACAGCACATTACATATTTCCACATTTGCCCTTCAATTTGCCAGCTACTACTAGTACCCTCATCCTTTATTTTGGTTCTTATCTTTAACATGAAAATATATTTGCATAAAATTTATGCTATTTATGAATAAAATAAATGCACATAGACAATTGCATAGAAATTATATTTAAGAATAAAATAAAATCTTCAAAAAGGGAAGGATTATTAGCTTTGTAAGAAAGAAAAATATATTTAATAGAAATAAATACTGTAAAGACCAAAGTAACGATAAACTCGTGACTGGACAATGACAGATAAAAAACGGCAATTCTTTTTGTAAAGGAGGGACAACCTGTAAGGAACATTATAGAAAGAAATATCTAATTAAATTTGTACCACAACAAATCATTCATTTTATAAAAATAAAAATATATTACAGTATTTATTTTAAAAGAATTAATGTTTCAAATTTTAATAAAATTTTAAATTATTAAAATCTATAAAATATAATATTATTATTTTGATCGTTTTCAATTTATTTTACTATATATTTGTTAAATTTGAATATAATAATTTAAATAAGGATAATTTTTTATAAATATAATATTGTCTTTCATTTATATATTATTTTTCTTAAGCTTAAACATAGCACCTACTCGTACTCAACTACAGAGTATGGGTATGGTCTCTAATGAAGGATTTAAGGAGTATGCCCAGAAGTGGCGGGATTTGGCTGGAAGGATGCAACCATCATTGTCGGATATAGAGCTGGTTGATATGTTTTTGGGGACCCTATCAGGTCCATTCTTCAATCACTTGATCGAGAGCTCATCTGCAGGGTTCACCGAATTAATTCTGACAGGTGAAATGGTCGAAGCTAACATTAAGAGTGGTAAAATTCAGAAGGATACCTCTGCTTCCACTTCTATCAAGAAGACCTTCCCAGCCAAGAAGGAAGTTTCTGCTGTTCACACCAAGAGAAATCAAGGGAGAATGGAGCGCCGACCAACGGTGGGGACTGTGATGATCCAGAACTCTTCAGTCGATCAACCTCGAAGCAGTCAACCCAGAGCTAACCAACAAAGGGTAGAAAGGCCACAACGACAGTTCACCCGGATCAATATGACACCTGCTCAGGTCCTCCCTCATCTGTTAAAGTTAAACCTTACCAACTTGTAAGAAGCGCCGAAAAACTCAAATACCTCTTCTCCCTATTATCATTCCAATGCAAAATGTGCATATCATTCGGACAGTGTGGGGCCCGACACCAACAACTGTTGGGCCCTTAAAAACAAGATCCAAGATTTAATAGATGCCAAGAAGGTAGAGTTTGATGCCTCCGAAAAACCTAATGTGATATCCGCTCCTATGCCAAAACATGGTCATAATGTCCATGCCGTTGTAGAAGATCTTCATGTTACTGCTGTTGATGACTTAATAACTTCGTTGCCATTAATCAAGATGAATCTGTTGAAAGCCGGGATTTTCCCAGGCTGTGAAAAAGATTGTTACCTTTGTTCGACCTTGCAATCCGACTGTCCGCTGTTGAAGTCATGCATCCAACGCCTGATGGATACTCAAGAGATCCTCTTTCAGAAAACTCCTGTTACTCATGTTACTTCTGTTACTCCAATCAATGATGTTGCTATAATCACCATTTCCGACAATCTTTCCAAGACCTGCAAAAGGCCTGTTAAGATTACACCCGATCCAAAGTTTGTACCGCTGAAGATTACCATGTCGGGGCCTATCCCATATAAGTCCAACAAGACAATACCGTGGAATTATGGAGGATAGATCTTCTACCACGGTGTTAAGCAGATCGAATTAGTTGAAGAAAGCTCTGATGAAGAAACTCCTGACATAGGAAATATTGTAGGGACAAGTAAGATAACTCGTTGCGGAAGAATTTTCTCTTCGGAGATTGCTCCTCCACGGGCAGTCTTCGAACCCTCAAGTGCTCCTGTGCCTGTCAAGATATATGTGCAAAGTCCAGTGATTGAAGAAATTGTTACTCCCGAAGTTGTACCCTCTGCTGTTACTGCTGATAAAGGTAAGGGGATCCAAGAAACGCCCGTCAGGACGAGGGCTCCGACTTTGGTTATCCCCGAGACCACCCAAAAGGAAATGGAAGAGATTTTAAAGATAATTAAGAAGAGCGACTATGATGTCGTAGAGCAGCTGGGGCAAACCCCTTCAAAAATCTCTATGCTGGCTCTATTACTCTGCTCTGAGGCTCATGCCAAAACCTTGATCAAATTCCTGAAGACGGCGCACGTGCCTCAAGAAACTTCTGCGGATCAGTTTCAAGAGTGTGTAGCCAGCCTTACAGCCGACAATGGTCTTGGCTTCTCTGATGCCGATCTAACGTCTAAGGAAAGAAAGCATAATGATGTGCTGCATGTCTCAGTAGAGTGCAGAGGGACCATACTTGCTCATGTTCTGGTTGATACCGGTTCATCCTTAAATGTCCTACCAAAGAAAGCATTGTGAAAATTCTGGCTTCAGATACCCAATGTCACGTCCAATGTTATGACACTGTATCTGACTTACTATATGACAGTAAATACAAAAGCAGTAAATAACACAGTCAATTGTTTACCCAGTTCAGTGTGCAACAACACCTACTCTGGGGGCTACCAAGCCAGGGAGAGAATCCACTATAAGAGATGTTAATTCAGGAATAAACCAACCAGTTTATCTCCTTCACTTAAGACCTACCCAATGCAATTCTAATCTAAGTACAACTTAAACCTGAGTTCCTACTCACTCCCCCTCAATCACAGCAGTGATACATAAACCAATTTGACTTGAGAATTGATGAAGACACTCTTCAAAACACACTCTTGATTATGCTTCACAGCTTTTTAATCAAGTAACACAATCACTCGTGCTTCACAGCTTTGAGTGATGTACACAACTAACTTGACTCTGCTTCACAGCTTTAGTCAAGTAACATTCAAACACTCTTGCTTCAAAGCTTTGAGTGCTACACAACCCTTACAATTGAAACCTATTCCAAGACACTTATCACAATGATAATTGCTTGGAGTACAATTAAACAAATCTATACAGATTACAAACTCGATCTTCTAATTAATCAGCAGGGATGGTTTCAAAAACCGCAGCTCTGTTGAATATATAGCAGCTGCAACTTCAGTTAGGGTTTCCAAAAACCTAGGGTTGATTCCGTTTGACTTAAAGTCCAGGTCACAGTACTTTGTTGATCAGGTTAGGATTGAGCGAGGTTACTCCTCAGAAAACGCAGGATTCTGTTTAGGAAGGACTGAGTTATTTCCTGAAAAAACTCAGACTTATCCAATCCTGTAATCCTGCTAGTTCAGAACAGGATGTCATAACATCTGTTATGACATCTGAGAAAACCTGTCTACTGATTAGCTAAATGTGATCATTTTGCAAACATGCTCAGATACACACTTATGAACATCAGTATTTGAGTTACAATATTTTTCTGCATATGTACCTAAAGAGTTAGTACAACCTTAACTAGAATGTTATGACATCAGTCATGACATTCACACATACACTTGGAATTTACCAAAAATACAAGCCAATACCTAAACACCTACAAACTCCCCCTTTGGCAGATTTTTGGCTAAAGTCCCTAAACAATCAGAGATAGCAGCAGAAATAAATGATGACAGCAGAAAAATATAGTGTTAAGTACTAATTAAGCAGTACCAAATATTCTCCCCCACTTTAGCCACAAATGGGCCAAAGATTACATGTTTATAAAGTAATACAGTTATCCAAGACAAAATAATGAGATCAGCAGCAGAACACCAGACAACAGCAGCAGACAACAGCAGGACATACTTCCAAACTCCACCAGCAACACCACCACGCAGCAATCATCCTTCAAGTACTGTCATCAGACTCAGAGGAGCCACTTTCTTCACTGTTGGACTGTCCTTCATCTTCTTCCCTCATGCTTGCTTCAGCTTCTTCCTTTTCTAGCTTGGCAATTAGTGCTTCTAGGGTCCTTTTCCTAGCATCCAGATCTTTGCAAGTTTCTTTTAAGACAGCTATGACATCAGATGTTTTGGACTGGCTCTTTGCAGACGATGTCTCAGCTGATGTTATGACAATGTCTGGAGCATGGGATCCCTGAAACAGTTTGTAGTGCAGGCCAAGGGCAGGGGCTCTTTTGCAGACTGTATCTCTTGCTACAAGTATGTCAGGATATTGTGCAAGGATGATTCCACAAAGGAGGGAGGGAAATGCAATTGGTCCTTTGACAGCATAACTGCCAGCATGCTTCAAGGTTTGTTCAAAAATGTACCTTCCATAATCAAAGGCAGTCTTGGTTCCTACAGCATAGATGAATCTCCCCAATCCTGTGGAGATGGTTGATTTGTGATTTGTAGGCACCCAGTTTGCTGCACCTATTTTATGCAGGATGGCAAATTTCATGCTGAGTTTACTAGCATTCAACTTCCCTTTCAATGGCCAGCACTTGACTTGCCTGGCAGTGATGGTCAAGCATACTTCATTGTCAGTTGCCTCTAGATCAGGACAGTCCTTATTCGTTCTTCCAAGAAACTTGTTGATTTCTGATGGAGAGAACTTGACCCTTCTTCCTCTAACAAACACACTC